AGAGAGAGATGACGCTTAGAGAACTTGCGTGGCAGTTGAAAATAACTCTTAATGAGTTGATAACTCTGAACGAGTTTTAGGAGAACTTGCAGAGCAATTTCGAACTCTGATCGCAGTGATAACTCTGAACGAGTTTTAGAAGAACTTGCAGAGCAAGTTTGAACTCTGATCGACGTTGATAACTCTGAACGAGTTTTGAACTCTTAAAAGAGTTGGACTTTGAACCGAAAGTTCGGTTAATAAGCAAGTGAAGAGCTCCTGTTGCTGCGTCTTCCAAAGCTCGAAGATCTCTCCCTTTGCCTGGGGCCAAGCCTCAGATCTGAAAAAGCTTCTTCGAAAGAATGACCGAATCTCCCCCTTATCGATGAGAAAAATCCCCCCTTTACTCAATGAGTTTCTGATTTATAGGGGGGGTTACTGATGGTAACTACCCCTTAATCCGCTGTCCTAAGTGACGGGGAAATCCCCTCAAATGCGTGGGGGAAAACAGTTTCTAGAACTGTTCCATTCTTGTTTGAAATGAGTCAACTGCTAAAAGCATAGCGTTCAGCGCCGCGAACTCATGGCGTTTTTAGACTAAAATACGCAGAGTTGGGGCCTATTTTAGTATCTGAACGCACAGGCCGCTCAGCGTAATGAATTCTGAGACGCAGAGTTAGGGTGTTTTAGGCTGACGACGCACAGGCCGCTCAGCATGATGAACTCCGAGACGCAGAGTTAGTGGCTGACGCACAGGCCGCTTGTGCGTTGGAATTCAACTCTGCTCAAGAGTTTGGGACGCATGGATGAGTCTGTGAAGAAAGCACGTTAGGTGTGCGTTTGTGCTTTAACTCTGGCGTCACAGAGTTAGATGTATGCTGGAAAACGCAGAGTTAAGCCTGTTTGAGGCTGAAAACGCACAATTGTGCTGTTTTTAGAGATTAAACTCTGCGTTTTGATGTTGAAAACCAGAGTTGAGCATGTGCGTTTTGACTCTGTAATGCAGAGGCGAACCTTAAGCGGGCTTTGGCGAGCTTCAGGCTAAGTCCAATGTTCTGACGAAGTCCAGTCTTGCAGACGGACTTCAGAACACAACTTGCTATGAAGAACAGGTCTATAACTTTCAAACCGTACGTCGCAATTGGACGAGATTACATATGAAAATCGCTATCTCGACGAGACGGGGCCATTCACGAACCAAGCCAAGGCTTCGGTTCGCTTCCTCCGTTTCACCAAATTCCTTACGGTTTGAGAGATATCTGCATTCTAATATGAAGAGACCGTCAATTTGTAGTCTCTTTTGCCAGAGTTTTGCACAGATCATCCTCTGTAATCTTTGTCTTGGGCTCCTTGAAAATATGAGAATCGTCAGATTGTAACTCCCGATTTGATTGTGAAGGCTGTTGAATTGGGCTTTCATCAGTTGTCGTGAGTCCTCAAAATTGTAGGCCACTTCTGGAAGTCGTCAGATTATACTATTATAACTTCCATCATCGGTGTTTGATGAGGGATTAACTATCTATTGTGATTTTTAGACAGCCTACATAGAGTTTAGAAAACTTCTCAATAGAAGACAAAATGGAGAGATGGAGATTGAAGCCCAAACAAGAAGATAATCTCCTTCACTTGTGAAAACCATAACAGTTTTAAACCAAACCCTTAAACAAGCTTAAAACAAGCTTAAACTCTTTTTAAAACTCTTTAAAACATTCTCTTGGGTTACACTTAGAACTGAGATCAAGTGGGTATTTATAGCCTCCCAAAACCTCAACCAAAAACCCCAAACAAAAGACCAAAAAGCCCCAGCCAACGGTAACAAGAAATAGCCGTTAGAACAGAACTGACAGAGCGGCGGTCGACTGAAAAAATTCGCGGTCGACCGCGATCCAGATCCCAACCTGAAAAAACGAGCAGAGACTTCTTCGGTCGACCGGTGCGGTCGACCGATGGAAATTTCAAGCTCTCGGTCGACCGCGGCGGTCGACTGACAAACTCTCTGCTGCCCACTGACGAAAGAACACAGGTGCGGTCGACCGAGGACTGATACATGAAAATGAAGTTCTGAAAACAGTTTTTCTGATTTTAAAACACTGTTTAAAAATATCAAATAAATTCTAAAAATGTAAAACTTTGGGGAATGATTATAGACATGATAATAAACATGCTACAATGACTGGTTTCCAAAAAGGACTTCCCAAATAAAAAATATCATCATTTTACAAAATAAGCTAAAACATGAAAATGTAAATATGTGAATTTTAACATTTTGGCTAAACCATGTTTTGAAACTTTGCACAATGATTTTGTAGACTTAATAAAATATGTATATGATTATTGTTAAGTCCAAAAACTAAGAAAACAATATTTTCACAAAATTGCATATTCTATGCAATATATACTAAAATACAATAATAAATATGAAACATGTGATTTCATATTTATAAACATGAAAAAAACTCAAAAACACATGTATGTATATATATATAACTATATATATACATAGAAACCAAATACGTGTGTGTATATGATATTGAGCTTAGAGTACTTAACACACATAATATAAAACCTAAACTAGATTACCCAAGCCGATCTTGATCTTCAATAAGCTCAACTTGGTACACTATGCGGATGAAGCTAAACTTGGATCTTGAACTTGAATTGTACGATGCTTCACTCCACAATTCCTCCAACCTCCGTTGGATATGATCGTTGAAGCTCTATTCCATCCATCCTCCAACTATGTTGTTTGTCTATAATAAATAAGAAAACACAAATACTAGACAAACAACATTAGTGGTAAATTGTTTGTTAAACATCATCAAAACAAGAAGGCCAACAGACTACAAATGCAGTTTTTCTAGATTTTAGGTTTTGAATAAGTGATTGTTTATAGATGTTTTGTGGGCGTTAATTGGGTTTAAAATTATGTCATTTCAGAGGTTATAAATAGGTTTAAACATCAGAAAACAAGCATCAAGTTTTGCACTTGTAAGATTCACATATTGTGCAAATTAACTCTCTAAACTTTCAGTTTTCGATTTGTTTTTCCATAAAAGAGAGTTTCTGATATTGCCTTTGTTCCTATCATTCTTAGAGCTTGTTTAGGTAATATTCAGAGAGTTAAAAAAGGATGATAAGTCACTATTACACGTTCACATCCACATCAAGACTTATAGGACTGGAATTGTACATTGCTTCAAAGAAAGGTTCTCTCGGTTTATGAGATATGTTGATCTCTTAATCTAAATATCGATTTACAATTTGCATGGTGTTGTCAATTAGGTTTGCAATTTGCATGGTCTTGCAAATTGGTCAAACTTGCTTTTGATTTTATAAGGTTTCAAAATCATAGTGAAAACTCTCAAGCGGGATTTGCTTGGGGAGTAGATGTACATCGGGGAGGTGGAACCAGTATACATGTTTGTGTTTGTGATGTTCACTTTCTGAGATTGTCATTCTTTCTCTGTAATTTATAATCTACCTTGCAAACTCACCCTCTAGTGTTTAAGTGTAAAGCTTCCGCAGATTTTTATAAGAGCACACTCTATTCTTAAGGGTCACGATCCTACACTTGGTATACATAAACAAAATCAGACCCTACATCTTTCTTCTATGAGGGTTGTTGAAGTTGATCTCGAGGCAAGCTCGCCAATCAAAAGAAAGAAGAAAGCAATAGCTAAAAGAATAATGACGTCAACAATTACAGACAAGGCTCCAAAAACTAGGGGTGTGCCTAACATGTATTGGACAAAGAGGCATGATGATATTATAATCCCTATTCTTGCTCAATTGGCAAGAGATGGTCTTAAGGTAGATAAGAACTTTAAAATGCATTCATACAAGGTGGCTGCTGAAGAGATTAACAAGCATTGTGGATCTGAATACACAAAGGAGAATGTGATGAACCATATGAAGAGTTTGAAGAGCAAGTTTTTTGATATGCGAACTATGATGAACATGAGTGGTGCCGAATATGATCCACGGTCAAAATTTGTGACCATGGATCCAGATTCATTTGATATGTGGACAAAGGTATCGATTGATATTATGAATGTTTATCTTGCGTTATTTGCATACAACTATATTTAACGCTCAAATTTTTCTAACAATAATTTGCATACATGATTGATCATCTGAGAAATGCTACTAGTTTGTATTGGTATGGGCATTCTCTCAAACTTTGCTATTTTTTTTACATTGGGCAATGATGATTGGTCTTGTTTGTTGATGCAACCTATATTGTAATTTTACTATTTAGGGGCTTACAATGACGAGATTGCAATCTAAATTGCTAATTATGATTTTTAGATGAGGCAACCATTATGTGTAGGCAATCTATAATTATTTTACAATATTTAGGCGAGGCATCATATACTGATAACATTACTTCAATCTGAGCCTTTGGTTTCACAGATGTGACTGAGTATGAGCTCTCTAATTGCTTCAGTTTAAGCCTGCTTTGATTTTACTTTATGCTATGTCGTGCTCTCTAATTGCCTACTTATGCCCTGCTTGCAAACTGTGTTTGCTCCAGTTTTTTATATGAAAATATTTGTCAATGTTGTGCTATGCCATGCCTACTTATACCCAGTTTTTATATTTGTCAATGTTGTGGTATGCATTTGCTTTAGTTTTCAGCTCAGTTTCAGTCCAGTTTCAGTTTTAGTATTATTATGAGCATTCAATTTCAGTCCAATATGTGTAGGCGATCTATAATGCAATTACAGTATTTAGGCGAGGCATCGTTTACTAATAATATGACTTCAATCTGAACCTTCTACTACATTGTTTAACAATCATGAAAGTATATAGATTCATATCTCAGTGCATTTTGCAACTACATGGCATGTTTTTAAATATAATGCCGAGTACACCAATTATAAGTAAAAACAATACACTCATTTTCCAAATGATTACTTTATGCTCTGCTGCTTTCAATTCTTTTTTCAAGCTTCTGATTTTCATTGCCCTTTTATCTTCAAGAATGCCTTCACTTTGTAAAACTTGATTTCTATTGCTACAATCACCCTCTTTGTCGGCCCACTGAAATAAGTTACATTCTTTATTTAGGAACTTAGCGCAACCCTAATATTGTCTCTCTTTATTTTTCTCATTTGCACATAGCTTCAAGGGTGTTGGAAGCTTACATTTGCACTTAACTTCATATGGGCCAATTGCTTGTTTGCTATTACATTTCAGCTCCATCAAACTGCAGTGACAATGTTGCTCTGATTCCTGCAAAAATAATGCAAACCGAGAAAATAAAAGGATGGAATGAATGTTATTTGTGTAGCTATGATTCCTGGAAAAAAAAACAGAAGCCAAAAGGGAGATAATGAGGCTGAAATGAGTATTGTTTGTGTTGGGGTGAGGGTGATACATTATATAGGATTGCATTTTAATTGTTTGCTGAGTTGTGCAGCCCCTACTAGCCATTTTTATAGCCGTTAGAGGCTTTGATTGTTGCGATATTAGTCTCCTGGGGGTAACTTTACCACAGGTATGTGTATCCACTCATTTCCAGTTGTTTCCTATTCTATGGTTTTGAATCAAACACAAAAAAGCTCAAGAAAAGTTTTCTATGATGTTGGTTTTCCTATTCTTTGGAAATGAAACAAACATGGGGTTTGGATATGCTTTCCAATTCTTCACTTTTTCATTCCATATCAAACACAAGTTATGGATTCCTTTGAGATCCAAATTTTTTTTTGGATATGGTTATTTGTGAGGGAATCCATTTCTATTATTTTATGGAAATGAACCAAACAGCCCCTTATCTGCTACCTACTTGCTAACATTGTATTTCCACATGTTGATCAATTTATAAGGCATACATATTAGCTTTTGTAAAGAGGACGTGATATACTTGACTTTAAATGCAGCTGGAATGTTAACTTATCTGCAAATAGGGAAGTTTTAAATTTATATCAAATATGGCAATTCCCATTCAAGCACTCCTTAGTGGTAACTCCGGAAAAATTTTCTGATTTGAATATGCTATTTCTTCTTTACTGCCTGCATGTACGTATTCACTCCGTTAGGAGCATGTTCTTTTTTTCTTTTCTTTTTTTTTTCTTTGGGAGGAATGAATAGTCTCATCTTACAAACATGTCCATAGTTGTCCTTGATCTCATGCATTTTACATCTTTCATTATGCGGTTACTACTTAGCTCACGTGTGTGGCAAGTGCCAGGAACTAATAGGATTAACCAGAGGAGATCTGCAGAATCTGTCAAATGTTTTCCAAGAGTTTGGATTTCGAATTGTGTCTTAGCTACCAAATTATTGAACTGTGACATTTTGTGTTTATATGAGATCTTTTTGGTTTATACCTCGCTTTTATGAATAACTAGTGGAAGCCTCAGTTTTTCTTCAAGAGATTAATAGAAAGTTTGACGTTGTTGCTTCATATTGCTTCTGTTTAATGTAGGGATACTAAATAGTTGCTCCAAGAATTCACTGTCCATAATAGGTGGGTTCAGTTTCCTGGCATTTTGCCTTGATAGTTTACAGGAGGTCCTCCCTTGCTAATAAAAATCTCGTTGATGACTGGTTGTAAACATTTTTGTTCATGAGTTTGTGGGTAGAACCAGATTATTGTGGTAAAAGATGAGTATGATAATGGTTACATTATGTTACAGGTCAAGGCAATTTAAATCTCAAAATCGTATGCAATTGTGTGTGTTCCAAGGTAATTTTGTGATAGGTATCTTTCTTGCTATTGCCTTTATGTTTTGGCTCATTACCAGCTATGATTTATTAGATTGCATAATGAAGATAAATTATTAAAGTTGATCAATTTGGATTACTATTTAAACAGCCTGTTAAAGATCAGCTTCTGACCATGTTTAGTTATGAAAATCTTAATAATAAGTTCCTTTTCTTTTCATTGTCATACTTTCTAGAGCTTATATCACAATTAAGATAGTTTTCGGAAAAACATTGCTGGAGTCGTTATGAATTCGCAGGATATGATCGTGTGTAGTTTTTTTTCCCGCAAACGTAGTTAGACACAGGAGTGCAGCATATATTCACATCTTTTCAGATTTGTCATATCATATTTGTTTTCAGATTATGCCTACATTGACATCCAGTTATGATCTTCTTTTGATGGATTACTGATATGGGATTCAGTCAGGAGTCTAGGTTCAGGTCATTTTTCAACCAACCACGTTTCACATAGTTCCAGGCTCCTATAGTTGTAAATACTTGTTTGAGTTGAAACAACTATTGTTTTGTGCCTAGAGCAGACTGTTGAAGCCTGAAAACTTGTATAAAACCCCAGCACATGTACTACACCCATAAGAAGCCATTACATGATCGAATTCCTTAAATGAGTTCTTACTAATTTACTTTGCATCCCTTTACTGGCCACAAGTCGGTGAAGCATGTTTAGGGCCTCAAAGGATACCTACTTTCTGCTGAGATTAGACCAGAATCTCCATCACCATTCTACTTCTGGAGATGTGACATACACAGGAAGAACCCTTGCACATCAATCATCAACTAAGAATTCATTTATTACCGTCCACTTTTCAGGGCCTATGTTACTGTATATCTCATATTTACATAAAAAATGCATGGCTGTCACTTGAGCCTTCATTTACAGGACATCAGTACGCATTTCTCCTCATCATTATATATTTTAAGTTGTTATCGACGCAAAATAAATGATTAACTGCCCTTCTCACATATAGGATGCGCCTCTGAACGTCATTCTTTCTACTATCATCAAATATGTTTTGTTGCGTGATATTCTACATTTCCTACTGTAATGCATTCTATTTTTATATGAGATGTCTTGGGTGGTCCTCTAAACATTGTTTACTTACTGGATATGCAGTTATGATGGGAAAATGTGATCAGAAGATAAGATTTCAAGGAGTGTTACCGAAGTCACCATTCGATAGGCATCCTTAGAAATCAGACCATTCCGGTACAAATGCTTAATCCTGCAACCAAAATTAAAATCAATATATTAAAATGTAATCCAAACAAATCCAATCAAAACAATGGGATGGAAGATCATATACACTACTAAAAAGGAGGTAGGCAATTACATGTTGGAAATCAGCAAATTCAGCTCAAAAAATCCAAAACCAATCAAAGAGTCTGGGCTCTAAGATTCATGGACAATTGCCCAAATATGAGTTAACGATTTGGAACTGATAACGCCCTGAGATTTTATTAGGACTTGCAGCGGATAATGATCTAAGCCATAGGTGAAAGCAAAGACACAAATTGCTTACTTTTGATGTAAGTTCTGTTTATTATTTAGTTAATGAGAATGATTTCGTTTAAGCAAAAATTTCTTAAGCTTAAACATGATTCATAATTATGATGAAATTTATATCTGGAATAAATGCAACCATTCTACATAAGATTGGTTTGTTGTCAAAGTGGTGTCTTTACTACTAGCTATGAAGTAAAGAAAATCCAAATCTGGATGATATTAGCAAAAGTTCATGACACTTTACTGTAATACCCTTATTGCAAACTTGGACCAGAAAACTGTGATATCCTTATGGCAAACTTGGACCATAATTGGTTGCATCTTGAAGTGCAATCTCCACACATAAGTATAGCTGGCATAACGTTTATAAATTAAAGGCAAACTAATCATCTTCCAACAAAATGGGTACAATTTGGATATAAAAAATATATGATCAAATCCTACTAAAGCTGCTTACAGAGCTGTTTTTGTGCAGCCCCTCACACACACTCTCTCTCTCTCTTCACGCGCATCAACACCGAGCCCACCGCCACCGATGCTCTCACAGACCTTTCAACAACGCAGTCATCCCTCGAGCACCACCGTCAGCGTTGCCGCACTCCTCGCACACCACCGCTACTATTGCTCTCTCTCTCTTTGGATCTGACCTCTCTCTCTCTCTAAATTCTCCAGAAAAAGCCCTAGACTTCAACAATGTCACTAGCGCTAGTAGAGAGGAGAGATGCGACGTAAGGAAGTTTTTAATTCCCTCAAGTTGCAGGCTAAACTGGAGACACAAAGCTTTGGGCTGAGCCGCCACTATAACCTAAAGCGTCTTGCTGATGAGGCGATCCGCGCTAGGGTTAGCCTTAGACATACCGTCACCGGTCATCAGCTTGCAGATCTCGCATCCGAAACTGCAGTAAAGATGACTCAAGTTGGTCATCCCCATTATGCCGTGGCAAGATAATTATTTCGGTTTTGTGATTTTTTTTGGGGTATGCACGATGTTTGTTTATCATTCCCCAAAACACCAAAGCCATTGAAATCTCTCTCCTCCATCTCATTTGGTTCAGGCACTGGCTGTAATGAAACAGAGTAATCCTCAATTACTTCTTCAGAGCCCTCTTCCATTTTAATTCTACCAGAAAAAATGGAACGAACATCAGAATGAAGAACACATGAGAGGGGAGGTGGGTCAAAAAGAATTCAAACTAATTTTCTTGAATTCAACTTACCTAAAAACATGCCGGGCGGTGAATTTAACCAGAAAGAAGACAAATTGGGTAAAATAAAACCAGCAAGAACTGATGAAAAGAGCCATATTTTTGTAAATAGTACGATCAAATGGCTCCTTGTTCAAAATATGCGAACGGGTATGGAAAAGAGCAATTCTTCTGACACCCATGGCTTTAATTCCACCAGCCCTTTTCTCTCAGTTTGAAGCAATCACAAAAGGGCAGTAGCTGAAGACCTCTGTCATTGGAAACTGTTCTGCTCAAAGAATAGACCTCCTATCTGCAATTAACAAAAACAAGGGGGAGGGGGAAAAGTGGGATTAAGCAGAAAAGAACGAACGAATGGATGATTCCAGTTGAAGAAACTGAGGGAGATAAGAGGGCGAAATGGGGATGACCACGGCATAACGGGGATGACCATCTTGAGTAATCTTTACTGCAGTTTCGGATGCGAGATCTGCAATCTGACAACCGGTGACGGTATGTCTAAGGCTAACCCTAGTGCGGATCGACCTCATCAGCAAGACGCTTTAGGTTACAGTGACGGCTCAGCCCAAAGCTTTGTGTCTCCAGTTTAGCCTGCAACTTGAGGGAATTAAAAACTTCCTTACGTCGCATCTCTCCTCTCTACTAGCGCTAGTGACATTGTTGAAGTCTAGGGCTTTTTCTGTAGAATTTCGAGAGAGAGAGGTCAGATCCAAAGAGAGAGAGAGCAATAGCAGCGGTGGTGCGCGAGGAGTGCGGCAACGCAGGCGGGGGTCTGTGAGAGCATCGGTGGCGGTGGGCTCGGTGTTGATGCGCGTGAAGAGAGAGAGAGTGGGTGAGTGAGTGAGTTGAGAGGGCCGGCCTGCACAAAAGCAGCTATGTAAGCAGCTTTTAGTAACTTATATTTTGGTCAGAGCAAGAGATACCACAGGGATTTGATAATTTATTACCGATCTTTCCTTTTTCCCAATTCATGTATAATAAATTAATAATCTCATATTCTAGGAAGAATAAATTACTAAAATCATGATACCTCTATACGTAGGTATGGTCATTTCATACTAACAATTGTGCTAGTTTCGGTAAAATAGTTCCAATTTATTAACTCCCACCCAACGACCTTTAAGCGGGGGATTATAAGACATTAAGGACGTGTTTAACAATCCACAAAACATATTTTCAATGGCACAGCATCGGTCCAAAATCACATTTTAGCTCGGTAAAGATTTAAATCTAAATTGAGCTAGTTCTTTTCTAATATAAAATTTAACAATTTTGTGATTAAGATGAAGCTAAAGCTAGTATATCCCAGCACTGTCTTGAAGTTGCCATAACACAAGCTACGACCCATGGAAGCATATCTCGTGGTCCCCACATGAAAATGTACATTCCCCTGTATTACATTCACGGGAAAATTTGCAAAATAGTCCGTTTTGGTTAATTATTTAGTAAAATAGACCGTTTTGCTAAATAATTAGCAAAATAGACCTCTTTTTGGTCAACAAGCCAAAAAGAGGTCTATTTTGCAAAACAGCTCAGAAAACATACGGGACTAGTACTCCCGTATGTTTTAATCACGGATTAGTGAACTCAGAAAATTTCACAAAACATTAAGATGAACTCAGAAAACATACGGGACTAGTAACATACGGGACTACTAGTCCCGTATGTTTTCTGAGTCACTAATCCGTGATTAAGTTAGCTCTAAACATACGGGACTAGTAGTCCCGTATGTTTTCTGAGTCTTGTTTTTTAAAATCGACCTCTTTTTTTCAAAAGAGGTCTATTTTGCTAATTATTTAGCAAAACGGTCTATTTTGCTAAATAATTAGCAAAAACGGACTATTTTGCAAATTTTATCCAAAGGAGTTGACCATACCTACGTCTAAAGGTAATCATTAACCTACTGGGGTCACTAATATTTTGACATAAGATGTGATAATTCAAATAATGCATCCCATTACAAAGAATCATGATTTTAGTAATTTACTAGTATGCAATACGTGCGTTGAACGTGATGCACAGTAAAAGACTACAATAGTTTAAATTTTTAATATGTCGGAATAAAAATGCAAGAATAAGTGACTTGCAACAGATATTTACCAACAAAAAACCAGAAGCCAGATCAAAGTCAGTTTATTATAAATTATCAAGTCATCAATATATCATTTAGCATTAAAATGTTGAATTGCTGCCTTTAAGAAACAAATTTCACTCATGATTACACCAAATCTTATGTATTGCGGTCGCTCAAGAATAACAAGATGAAGGCACCATATCAAACTAAAGAAAGCATAGAAAGTTATTAGATGATCAAGACATCTATAGCAATCAACCGATCCTCAAGATGATATGGACTCCACTGTCAGTATCCATGATGTCGCTAATCTCGCCAACCTTCAGGGCAAAGGTAGCTTCCTCAAATGGATCTGCATCTAACCCCGCCGAAGACGACCTGCAGGATAATAATTAAAAAGATCAAGAGGCAAAGTAATAGACCAATTAATAGATAATAGGATATCAATGTTTCTATTTAACACGATATGGGAACATAAATGTTCGAGCATTGAAGATATTATAGAACGAGGTGAAACTCATGCAAAAAATTATTTTCAAGGAGCTTTCTTTCCGTGATCCAAAGTACTTTACTACTTGACAAGTGCTGGTTGCCAAGCATGTGTACATTAATGAACTCTCATCTCTAATTAATCACAGTATAATATCTATAATGACATCAAGCATCACTTCCCATCACAACAGTAGTACAGAAGCGGAAATGATTTTGGTCTGCACTCATAAATGTAGCCTAAATTACAAGGAAGCACCACATATTTCAATAACATTACTTTCATATACAACATGAAATTTAACTGCATTTTGCTACCTCCAATTATACATGTAATACACTTCAATACCATATGTTAGAAGCTTCCAGAGACAACATGAATCACATACAAAAAATTGGAAATAGAGATAAAAATATAGAGCTTTTGCTAGCATAAGGTCCTGGAAAAAAGTTGCCAAAACTCGAGTCTTCACATGCACCCCATAGTGAATTTCTGGTAAAAGAAAGCTCAAAACAGACGAGCCATTTGATGGCTCTCATAGTAGTTCTTCTGCTAGCGGAGCTTTTCACGTTAACAACAATGGTGAATAGCCATTTGATGGCTCTCATAGTAGTTCTTCTGCTAGCGGAGCTTTTCACGTTAACAACAATGGTGAATCTAGCGGGCAACATGAAAGCACTTGCCTAACAATTATAGATGATATTCAGAAGCAAAAACATGATGAAGCTGATAAAAAGATTGCTCGGTTTTTCTTCCACAATTCTATTCACTTTACCGCTGCTCAATCCAGTTACTACCAAGATATGATCGATGCAATTGCAGAATGTGGGTCTGGTTATATAGCTTCAAGTTATGAGGACTTGAGATTCAGCTCATTTAGAGAAAATCAAAGGAGAAGTACATGAAAATTTTTGTAAAAGATTGAGAGATCAGTGGAAAGAGACAGGGGTCAATATTTTATCGGACAGTTGATCAGATGGAAGATCGAAGTCTCTACTTATATTATCGGTTGCATCATCCAAAGGGACCCATTTTCTTAAATCTTTAGATATATCATCTCATATTGATGATGCCTATTATATTTGAGGTTGGAAAAATTGTGATATTACGTAAAAATTAAATTAAATAATATCCCATCACGTTACACTATATTATATTACGTGAAAGTTGTACTCCGGCAGACTTTGGTTGATTTTATCCGTAGTCCCATTTTACTTGAGGAGACTTCAAGATTGCATTGTCTTTTATGAGATGTTGCAGGTAGATTCTTTAGCAACATCCGGGCAAGAACTTTCACCTGCGGTCTTCATTGACACTACAGACTTGAGAGTTTTCGAAATCTTCCTATATTTGCGAGACGAGGAAGATTTCGCGGATGAGGATGACAAGTACTCCTCAATGCATCATCAGTATCTGCTATTGTATACAAACTTTGGAACTTCATATGTCTTTATTGCTTATTCATCCATTTGGTGCTTTCATACTACACATCCTTCTGAGTACAAAAGGAACCCGTTAGATAGAACCTGACAACGTGTCTGCACTATCATCCGTACACAACCAGCTCTTGACTAAAGCAATACTCACAACTCACTAAAATTAACTAATTCTAGTAATATTATTTAAATGTGTACAGGTTTGGTTATGAAACAATTGTCTTTTATCATTCGGCCCAGTTCAATTAGAACCAAACTAAGAAGGAACACATGGGATGTCAAAAGAATGCATCAGCAGTATCTGCTATTGTATAAAAAATTTGGAACTTCATATGTCTTTATTGCTTATTCATCCATTTGGTGCGTTTCATACTACACATCCTTCTGAGTACAAAAGGAACCCGCTTGATAGAACCTGACAGCGTGTCTGAATATCATCCGTATACAACCAGCTCTTGACTAAAGCAATACTCACAACTCACTAAAATTAACTAATTCTAGTAATATTATTTAAATGTGTACAGGTTTGGTTATAAAACAATTGAGGAATCTACCATAAGTTTTTTTTATTTAACCTCATAAAAGCATAAATACAGATGAAACATTATGAATCTTTTCAAAAGAGAGATACAATTAAGTTAACATAGTAATTGTAGCACTAATAAAACTATTGTTATAATTACTATACAAACTATATAAAGCATTACTTTTGAAAGGAAATGTACCTTGTTTTCCTTGTTGTAGTTATTGGTTGTTATTAATCTTATACCTAGAAAAAAAACAAAAATATAAAGTTAGTATCATCCCTTATGCAAATTTTCAAGGTAGCGACTGTTCAATTTTATACTAAAGACCTATAAAAGGTCATGACTTTTCATATAGAAAGAAACATTAGATACACAACGGCCAAAAAATTGTGAAGCTCTGAAGATAAACTAATAAATTTGAAAACCATATCTTATCATAATCATAAATCATAAATGAATAAAATTGAAATATCATTGATGCAGCAGACAAAATAGACCACACGTATTTAACACAAAACCATATCATTCATAAAGTTCATGCTAAAGAAACATAAAGAGCTAAGCATAAGTTTTTTGTAACATAATTAAAGCTAATAAAAACAACAGAAACTTATAAAATTTTCCAACACTGCGATTCACAAACTCATAGACCTAAATTTATTTTATTGACTTGATATTTATTTTTCTAAGACTCGTCTCAACTCATTTTTTATTGTCCTCACGAAATTTCCAAATAGCTTCTAGAATGCTCATAGCTTCAGTAAACATTTTATCCGCTTCTTCTTCGTCTTTGATCTTAGCAGCATTAACTTCAGCAGTAGTACGAGCATTTTCGCTAGGGACGTAATCAGCATCTGAATCCTCAACCTTCATTTTTTTGTTAACTTCGTAAGAGCTTTCCTCATCATCATCATAATACTCCTCAATTGATGGTTCTTCTTCATCATCATATAGTCGAGCTGAAGTATCATTGCTTGTTGGTTGAGTGACCCTCATTTAACATCTTTTTTTTTCTCGCCTTCATCGTCACTTGATAAAATTTTAATAATTTTGTTGTCCTTAGCAAAAGTTTTAAACTCATATGGTTTGGGAACTAATTTGCATGTTGTGCGTTTCAACATCTGTTATGAAACCATGAAAAGAATTATTAATATAGCTATAATATAAGTCTTGACACTTTAGAGATCATATCGGTTGCCGCGAACCCTATGTCATGATAAAGCAAGGAAGTATTGTTAAATGGAAGGATTATGTCAATTTCAATTGAAATATACTTAGCAATGTTGTGGCGTGTGGAGTTTAGCTATAAATCCTCGTAAACCTGTTATTATCATTAAAACTATTTCCAAATTACATGTAAGGTAGACTTTCACGTGTGTCCATCATATATTACAGTACTTTCAATGACTTCACCTAATTGCAGAAGAACTCAAGTATTCAAGCTAATATTACAACTTTATGACATTTTTCAACCTTTCCTTTCCATTTTGAGACGTAAAGTCATGGCACTCCAAGAGTTTAAAACTGGATAAAAGGATTGGTACTCTTTCGTATTTGTTACTTTTAACTAATTACATTCTAATATGGCAATTGCTCTAGGACAATTAAGAATTTCTAACAAAAAGGATTAATTCACCTTTATAATGTTCTAAATTTATGTGTAACTTAGGAAATTAAAACATTTCCTTGTGTTCAGTAATACCTTGCTAGATGGGTTCTCCTATGAACCTGAATCCCTACACCTCCAAGCACTACATGAAAAAAAGAAAAAGTTAATTACGATCAAAACTAATCGTAATGGTAGTCCATCAACTTGTGGAATTTCCTATATAGGCCACTTATGTTAGCTTGACTCACTTTTCGGTCCAAACTTAGGTAAGCAGTTTAGTGTTTTGTTAGCTCAATAATTAAAAATAATTTTCTCACCTTTAAGCACTTCCTATGGTGGATAATATCCATACTTGAAGTCATAGGATCTTTGAAATTCTAATTTCTTGAATAGCGCAAATTAAAGACATTATACACTGTATACATATAGTATTTATTTAGGAGAATGCAGATTATTGGTCCAAACAAATAGAGGTTTTCCAAAAAAAAAGTTCAAGAGCCTTTTGAGGCTTTGAATACCTGCAGCATGTCCTGAACAAGAATCAAACATGAAGTTGCTCCATATATAAAGTTTTTGGTGGTAAATTACCAATGAGCCTCATAATATGCATTCCATAAAGCCAGGAAAAGGTGGTAAAAGTGTGTAGAGATAGGTGTGCACATAAGAATGTGAGTGCCTGAATGTGCATGTGTGTGAGAGAAAAATACAACAAGTGCAGAGTACAAAGGCTGAATGTAAACCTAGTTGCACAGCATTAAGAAACAAATGACTAACAGTAAGCTTATTTTCAAATTGTACAATCACAAAGAAGAAATCGGCAATAATACCTAATGAATATTAAAAATAGTCATTAAAATTAGTGAGCATCACTGGTTTTCCTCCCAAAACGAAAAAACATCTGTTTTGAACTATAATTAATAATTATGAAGCCTTCAGATATATACAAGGGAATGAACTTCAAGGCCCTCTTCTTTTATGAAACAACCCCACAGCTAAAAGAAAAAAAGTACAGAACTATCTCTAATGAAAAAAAGGCAAAAAGGCAAAGATATGAAGCTTTAACCAAGTCAATAATAAGGATTTAAAGGGCCAAGTTAAGAATCTGGAAAATGGCACAAGAAACAAACATTTATGACACAGGCCAACGAAACAGTCCTTCTTCACATAGCCAACTTTAAGGTTTAGCGCAAACTGAGAGCAAATTATGCCAACACTAAAGTTTACCATAAACTGAGAGCAAATTATGCTCTCATGGGTGACATCAGAAATTCACTTTCTTATTCAGAATCTTAGTAAAAGGGTAGTGTAATCCTCATGCTGGAGAAAGGATAACGGTGACAGCATCAACCAATTTCAGATGTGGCCTGTGTACACAGAAGCTAACAGTGATCAAACTACCGTCAGATTAACAGTTTAGAGAAAAGACAGGATGTCATATAGGTCTGAACATATATATTGAAATAGTGCTCCCTCAACTCTCATGTATTGGTAACAAATCCCCCCAAATCATCGTATTTTTGACACAAATTCCCTGAATCTCGCCTATTTTGATACAAGTCTCCCAAATCATCATATTTGAATACAACTCTCAAAAACATAAAGTTCCCACCCGCCCACCCCCCACCAAAAAAAAAAGGTAGTTCCTATCCACTTAAACCAACTAAAGTAAAGGGGCTGTTAGGGACTTTAAATTGACCCCCCACCCCCCACCAAAAAAAAGGTAGTTCCCATCCACTTAACCCAACTAAAGTAAAGGGGTTGTTAGGGACTTTAAATTGGAGGGACTTTCAAAACATTAGCAAGATAAAGCCAGTTTTCAATGGGTTCAAAGGATACATTGGATTCCTTACCTCAGCAAGAGGATAGGTACAAGGCAAAAAATGAAAAAAAAGGAAATCAATAGCCAAGTTCTTTTAGATTATAAAATGGGTTAAGTGGATGGAGGACTTATTTCAAAAGCTTAATAGTTTCAAGGGACTTGTATCCAAATAGACAAGGGGCAAATAGGACAGGAAGCCTAATTAGTATAAACTGTGAGGTGGCCAGATTAAACAAGCATTTGGCTGTATTTTAAACAAAAATTGAAATGTACCAAACCCCTGGATAAAACATCGATGCACAAACCCCTGGATAAATCATCAATGTATCTCTATTGCATCAACAATAGTATAAACTGTGAGGTGGCCAGATTAAACAAGCACTTGGCTGTATTTTAAACAAAAATTGAAATGTACCGAACCCCTAGATAAAACATCGATGCACAAACCCCTGGGTAAATCATCAATGTATCTCTATTGCATCAACAAGTCATTTTTATAATATGGTGTTATTTCAACTAAAAAGAAAATAAACTTGCCTAGAAAAAGATAATATGTAATGGGGTTCAATATGTAGATGCTTTTACTAATTAATTTTGAGTAAAAAGTAACTTACAGGGTTATGTGCTTGCAGTGAGAATAATTACGCAATAAAATATATTAAGTGTTATATTTTAGTTAAGGACAAGACTGGCACATGTCTTCTTGTTCTTGTACATGTTGATTCTAAGGCATAAGACTGGCATCCTATCGAAAGCCATGTTACCTACGAAAAGGTAGTAAAAGTGTGTAGAGATATGTGTGCACCTAAGGATTTCAGTGCTTGAATGTGCATGCCAAAAGTGTTGCATCCCATACATGTTGTGATTATGATCAAATGGTTTTGACCATGGCTTTTTACACTGAAAGCTACAGACCCTACTAATTAGTCATTCTGCCTTGTAACTTGTATGGCTAGGTATAACAAAGGGCAAGCTTGGGTTATAAATATGAGCCTGCAAGAGACTAATTAGTAGTTTTAGGGGGCAAAGTGGGATGAAAAATAGGTAAGGGGGTAAGTGGGATACGAGTTCAATAGTTGAAAAGCGTGTGCGCTTTTCCAAGGCAGTTAAGGTTCAATTGAAAGACTAACTTTGGCAAAAGAATAGATGTCAGCTAAGCCTGAAGATCGGCAGCGTACTGAGTTCACATCATCGTTTTAAAACAACCAACATTGGGTAAAATCCCACGAATAAGTCGGTGGCAAATGAAATCAACATTATGTACCCATCTCTGATATTCTCACTTTGATGTGTGGCAGACCACTTATCCTTATTCTTTCACTTAAAATGAAATGAGTCGAACAGATATTTCCACTTTACATCCTGCAGTACCAAAACACAACATTAAAAAATTAAATTTCCTTGTAATCTTGTTATTTCAGATTACATTAACTTACATTGTGATGTATCTTACTAATGCAGTAATACTAAATACCCCCGGGACTGTGGATGCATATGCGTACGAACAAAAATAATAATGTATAAACCCTTCTTACAATATTGAACAGTTTCTATAATCCGCAGTTCCATACCACAGAAGGTCATAATACAAAATTTCAGCAGAAACTGTATTATATAAACATATTTAGCATGGTTAGAATTAAGATAACTTTATATATCTTAGTATGAGCATCTAGAACTCTTGGACATCAATGTGTATGAGACTCTGGTACACATTTCATCCATACCTTCCTTGGCTTTTTCTTCATTGGTCTAGTTCAGTTGATATAATTTAATGATCTCCTCTCTTCACATTTTTTTTCTACAGATACTTTCAATATTATCCAGACTCTATAAGGATTTGAATCAATCTTATACGTAATGCTCTATAAAAATCTGAAATGCATAATTAAAGAGGTCAAATAGCTAAGACTCTGCCCAATGGTCGAGCCCATACGTAACTGTTCAACAATAAGTAAATAAAAAAAAAAGCTCGAGATAACAGAGATAACAAAAAAATTAAATTTACCTTGATAGCTTTGTACTCGTCCTATCAACCTCAGATTCCTGACATCATCAATCATCAATACAAAAAAAAGAAGGTAAGTCATGATCCAATCAACCAATCAACCAGAGAGTAAGAAATAAGAACAGGGAAATAGTAATGATAACAATAATAAGAGTAAACACAACTTACAATTGAAAATGAACATTGTCTTTACTCCATCCAAACTGAATCGGTACGTTATTTATACAAGCACAAAAAAACCTAAAATTTCAGTGAATATATGTAAAGCCCTAGAAGTTAGTACCGTTTATAATAACGGCAAAAAATGAGGGGTTGAAAAACTGACGAAATTGAGGTAAGAGGAGAGGCAGGTAAGGGGGGGTGGAGAAATGGAAGAATCGGAGAGGAAGGGGCAGGGGGCAGGGTTGAGAAAAGGAAGAATCGGAAGGAGGAAGAAGGTGGCGGGTGTGGGGAGCGGCAGAGGGAGGACGGTTAAATGAGGGAGCGGGGGCCGGGGGGGGGGGGGGGGCGGTTGAAGAGGCAGGAGGATTCATCTGTTTCTCTAGTGGTTCAGAAACGGAAGAATCAGAGATGAAAAGGCGGGGGGGCGGAGCGGCAGAGGAAGAATCGGAGAGAGAGAAGGCAAAATAAGAATTAAGGTATGTATGGATCTGGAGGGGTGGAAGGGAAGTTAGGGGAAACTTAGGAGAAGTTAAGTTAAGGGAAGGGAAGTAAGTTAAGGGAAGGGAAGGGAAGGGAATTTCTAAAACTTGTTTGGGAAACTAGTAAGATAAATCAAAGGGAAGTTATTTTACCTCGTTTGGAAAGTGTAATAACGGGAATGGAATGGAAGAGAATGTATATAAATTGACATAAATACGCTCACATATTATTAAGTTATATTGTTGTTAGAAATTTTAGCCTTTGGATTTTGATCTTAGCTAGGGGTAAGTATGTCTATCTACATTTGTTGTATTCCCCCTCTTTACCTTCACCCCCATTACACCCCAAATCTGGGTGGGGGGGGGGGCGGGGAATTCAGTTATTTTTTTACCTCCTTTCACCTCCCCTCACCCCTATTAACTTGCTATATTTACTTCCCAAACAAGGTTAAAAGTTACCCTCCATTCCCCTCACCCCCATTACCCTCAATCCAAACAAGCCTGAGAGAACTTTTTAAAACAGCCTCAACCTATGTTTTAATTTCCAAAACTGACTTTTTTTTTACCAAAATCGATCCACTTTTTGCCACGTCAGCTTAATTAATACTATTTCTAAACAGTCGGAGTTGGCAACCCCGTCTGTTTAGAAGATTGTTAAACCCTAATTAGAAGCCTTAAACCCGATTTTTATGTCCTAAATAGTCGTTGCCCGACTAATTAGGAAATGAGATTAAGCTGACGTGGCAAAAAGTGAGTTGATTTTGGTAAAAAAAAGTGGGTCAGTTTTAAAAATTAAAACATTGTTTGAGGCTGTTTTGAAAATTTCTTCATTAAATAGATAGATATATAGGATAAAATTATAATTAAGCAAGTTTTAACATTTGTTTTTTCTTTTAGAAGTAGTATAGATATAGAGTTGTCACAGAATACAGGATTATTATACATGAATCATACTCCCTTTAAAAGCACGAGTTCAGAAAATCTTTTTTAGACAAATATACCCCTTTATAGTTTATGGTCAATATTACCCTTCACTATTTTGAATATTTTATTTATATCTTAATTTATCCTAATCATAATCATATCTTATCCTAATCCTATGTGAACCATGTTTAGCTTAACAATTTAAAAAAACTAATATTAATAAAATATATAAAATATAAAAATGATATTAGTTTGTTAAGATAAAGAAATTACAAGTAGATAACATATTATAATACATGAAGTATTGCAAAAAAATCATAAAAAGTTTTAAAATTGCAGAAAAGACCCTGAAAAGTTCAAAATTATAAAACTCATCCAAATGTCTCAAAACTTAAAATAAAAAATATGAAATTAAAAAATTAACATCAGTTTGTAAAAAATTAAAATTTACAGTTAACAACTCAATGTCTTAAAAATTATAGAAACACCCTCAAAAGTTTAAATTACAGACAAGCACATTAAAATTCTAAAATTTTAAAACTTACAAACAACACAGATGAATTCAAGAGATTACCATGATACACCTAAAAATTTTAACATTTAAATTTAATTTTTTTTATTAACACCCTTAATATCTCAAAAATTATAGAAACACCTTCAAAAGTTCAAATTATAAAAAGCCACCCTAAAATTCTATAATTTGTAAATAAAATAAGATGAATTCAAGATATTACCCTTAGACACCTAAAAAATTAAAATTTGCCAAAATTAACCTCAAAATTTTTAAAAAACTCCTTCAAAATTTAAAAATCGTAAAAAAAACTCTAAATTTTCAAAAAAATTAACTAGCACACATCAAATTCGTCGATTGGTAGACCGCTAAAATTTAATATTTTTCAAAATTAATCTATAGTTTTAATAATTACAAAAGACACCCTCAAAATTTTAGAGTTACAAGAAATATACTAACATTTAAAAAATTACCACCAACACATGAAACATAGAATTTACAACTACCAAACTTAAAAGTAATTTTTTTAAAAAACTCTTTCAAAATTTTAAAAATTATAAATCACACCCTCAAAGTTCAAAACCACAAAAATGGGCTAAAATTTTAAAACTTGGCAAAGAAAAGTGTAATTGTTTGGTATTTTTCATATATATATATATATATATATATATATATATATATATATATATATATATATATATATATATATATATATATATATATATATATATATATATATATATATATATATATATATATATATATATATATATATATATATATATATATATATATATATATATATATATATATATATATATATATATATATATATATATATATATATATATATATATATATATATATATATATATATATATATATATATATATATATATATATATATATATATATATATATATATATATATATATATATATATATATATATATGAAAAATACCAAACAATTACACTTTTCTTTGCCAAGTTTTAAAATTTTAGCCCATTTTTGTGGTTTTGAACTTTGAGGGTGTGATTATTAAAAAATAATTTAATAACTTTATCCTAATCAAAGAAAAAATCTCCATGGAAGACATAAGAAAAATTAGTAAGTATTCATAAATTCCATACTGTGTTCTTCAAATTAAATATTAATATTATAATCTAAGAGAAATTGGTAATGAATAATGCAGGTATTTAGTTTAGATCTTTATGGAAAATGACAGGGATAGAGCAAAGGTAATATTATTGAAATAACAGAAATTCTTATTGGATGCACATCAGAAGAATTCATTTTAGAGGAAAATAAAGAGATAGCTTCTAATTTATTTAAGTAATAAATTAGGAACACAAAGAATTTTATATATATGAAATTAATATTTATTCTCATTGAAATAGAAAAAAAATCAAAGTCTATATTTTGAGCAGTTTGTGTTGAACATCATAAGTACATTTGACTTCTTTGTAAAGTTAAATGAGATACTAAAAAATTAACGAGCCTAGGAAAGATAATAGCATAAAAAATACAAAATTAGCCTGATGTCACAATTGATGTAGATGATGAAGACAATACTCTAGAATTGTCCGAGAAATGATAAATGATAAACCTGAAGAAGGATTGATCTTAACTCAATAAAAAATAAAATAGAAGAAATAAAAACAATATTTTATGAATATTTTATAGAATAGTTTAATTATTTTGAGTGAAATTAGGAATCTTTAGAAGGGAGTTTCATGAATTTTTTTAGTACTTTTATATTCTTATGTGGATGTTTTTATCATATAAAAGTATACTAGAGTTAGCATTAATCTTTAATTTATATTTTTTTATGAAGTCTATCAATGATTAGGAATAAATTTCATATTTTCTTTTGCATCGTTTTAACATACTTTAAATCAATCATTTTGTCATATTGGTTTTAAATATTCACCTTCCTTGTATAACACTATTTTAATATTTTTCACTTTGCAATGCTATACTTTCTCAAATAAATCTTAGTATCATATCGGTCAAAAATAATATGAAAATTCAAATTATTTTTAAATTATATTTGTTTTTTGTCAATTCAAATATCAACATGAAAATTTAAATTGGGTGTATCCCATTTAAACAAACATAAAAAAATAATCGGGATGTAAGAGTTTAAAGAAAAAAATGAACACAAACTGTCAAAAATACTTAATCATGGTATTAAATCACGTGCATTGCACGTGTGTAAAAACTAGTTTGGGAAAAAAAAAGGAAAGATGGTACTTAACATCAATAAATGATCGGATCCCTGTGATATCTTCATTGTGTGCTCTATAAACTAAACCTGCTCTGACGAAAATAGCCCCAACCAACCCTGGGTGGCGGAGCCTGGACCCGTATGACAGCAGTGGCAATAAATTATAAATAAATAAAATATAATGATAACCTCAAAATAGACCTTGATTTTGTAGTCATCTTTGATTTGACTTTGATTTTATTATTATAATTTATTTTACAACTTGCTGGGAGATATTCCTGCATCCAATTTACACAAAAAAAAACTCATGCCAAATTCTCACAGAGGTAATTGGCTTGTCCAAAAAGCCCGTCGGCCCGGAAATCTGGGCCTAATCGGGTTCCGGGCCCGGGCCCGGGCTACCTCAGCGGCGCCCGGCCGGAGCTCGGCCCGGCCCGAACAAGCCGGCACAGGAAAAAATCCGGATCGAGCAGCCCGGCCGGAGCCGGCCCGTGTGCAACGGTCACCATAGAGTGACCGTTGCCAAAATAGCCGGCCGGGCCGAGCCAGCCCGGCCAAACGATCAGCAAGAGTGACCGTTGTGGCCAAACCGCGCCGGCCACAACGGTCACGAGAGTGACCGTTGTGGCAAAAAATGGTCGGTCCGGTCATAACGGCCAAAACTCATCTTTTGACCGTTTTGTCCCCAAAAACGGTCAAAAATGGTTATTTTGTGAGGTTATTTTGGTCATTTGTTTAGGGGCTGACTCTATAAATAGAGGGGGGGGTTTCATTTGTTTTCTTCACACCAAAACTCATCTACTTCTCTCTTATACTCTCTTACTCTCTTATACTCTTATACTCTCTTATACTTTCTAATCCTTTCAACAAATGGCTTCCGGATCTGATTATGAAGAGCAAAACATATCTCCCGATCTTGAAATGAGTCATCCTACTGGGTCTACTCCTACCGATGTTAATCCCGAATCCGGTGGCGACGAATCTGCACCAAGAGCTCCTAAAAGGCCAAGATCTGATGTGTGGAATTTTTACGAGAAGATCGACGTCACCAAGGATGAACATGGTAGGATCCTCACCCAGAAGGCTAAGTGTGCGTTGTGCGGTAAGATTTTTCAAGCTCATCATAAGAGCGGCACCAACCACCTCAAATGCTATTTAGATAACCATAACAAAGACCAGACTCCT